AAATAACTCTTGCCCAAATTACATCATCCGTTCAGAAGTGGGATGAGTAATGTGTGCCAATCTACTCATAAACGCTTCATGTCCCAATCTAGTCATAAAGGCTGATGCATTTGTACTCTGGTAAAGCTCATCCAATCCCCCCTTCAGGCCAGCAGACGTCAGCTCTATCTGACTGACCCAGATCCTGACGGCCAAGTAGGTTACTAGAGGATCTTAGTCAATACAACTAAAAATGTATAATAATTATAACAACAACAACAACAACAATCATCATACAAAATCCAAACTGTCAAAAGGCTGTGGAAGACATACTACAAAAATATTGCATCTCACTTTAAAAATTGGCCTACAGAAGTAAAAATGTCTATTTATGTTCTCTATTTAGAAATAGATTTTTAGCAATAGTTGATAAACCAGATCTCTTATGAACTCCAAAGCTTTTAAACAGTAGTCTATATCAAGGGTTCTCAACTGGTTTGGCCATGGGACCCAAATTTTTAAGAACTATAATACAATTTTAGGAATTATAATTAATTTGTATTTATTTGTTAGCATACACAAGTAGTGACAGATAAATCATGACATTCACCGAGACTTACAAATAAACAATATTTTATTGCTGTTATTTAAAAAAAATGGATCAAATTATAGAAATATCACAAAGTAAAAGCGACAAATACTGTAAACAGTGGTTAAGGTAAGGAAATGTTCAGTTCAGTTCAGTTACCATCAACTAAACTGAACTGTTAATAAAACATGTCGTCTGGTTTCTAAGGGTGCTTTCACACCTACACTTTTGTTTTGGAACGTATCTCGTTTGCCCAGTTAGCGCGGTTCGATTGGCATATGTGAACAGGGCAATCGCGCTCTGTTCCGCGCCAAAGTAATCGCTCCGAGATCGCTTGAATGAGGTGGTCTCGGCTCGATTGAAACGAACCCTGGAGCGGTTCGATTGTAGTGAGAAAGCGATCCGATCAGAGCGTGGTTGTATCACTGTGTTTTATGGATATGTAATAGGTATTTACGGCTATATGAAGAGAGAATTATGAGTGGGGTGGGAAGTTTCGCGAGTCTCCGGATGCCCGCAAACGAGTGATGATCTCCCGGTAATCTCCCGTCTCCCTCCAGGTCCTCAAATAAGCATCGTCGCGCACTCTTCTCACCCCTCCCCACCGCGTCTCTCCTCAGACACGTCGCACGCGCGCACCCTGTCAATCACCACCAAACCACCACCTCTCCTGACAGCTTAGCGGGACGCTGCAAAATAAACCCTGACACTCTGACCAATGTGAGGAGAGTTTACTCGCACGTGACTTGTTTTAGCTCTTTTGGTCCGATTAGAAACTTTGCAATGTGAAAGCAAACCGCTCCAAGAGCAAAGAGCAACAATGTAACAATTGTAATCTTTGTTTCGGAACAACTGAATCGATCCACAGGTGTGAAAGCACCCTAAATGTCGTTTTCATTTAGAAGGTTTCGTGCTCTCTTATGAGAGCACCTCACTACATATGACACTGAGGCTTTAAGTCTTTTCTGCCGTCAATATATGTAAATCCATACTTTACATATTCGGGGTCGTACTCGCGCTTCGACATATTTGTTGCTATAATTAAATGAAATTTCAATTTCACATGTCGCACACGAATTTCAAAATAAAAGTCCGCTATATGCAAAATAAGTAAAAAATTAACCTTTTTTTTTTGACCACACACTCAACGCACTCGCGACCCACCAGTTGAGAAACACTGGTCTATATGCTTTTCTGAAACCCATGTGTTCATAGAGAGAGAAAGAATTTTGAGTTTGTTGCCATTTCAGCTTCTTTGGCTGTGTCACGGCAAAAAAAAAAAAATGATCAAGTTTACCACATTTCATAAATACCATTTTTCTATAGTTATAAAAAAATATTTTAACAATTAAAAGTCACCAACAGCAATAAATAACACACAAGGTAAAAAGCATAAATACTACTAATAATGATAATATATAAGATAAAATTTTAAAACTTATTTTTTATTATTTATTTATTATTATTTATTTTTTATTTTAAATTTATTTTTTAAGGTTCACTTTTGATAAAATTGTACAATTTTAGAAGGATTCGCGTTCAAAATTATTTCATTTAAAGTCTGTCCAGATAAAAATTGATTAATTGAATAAGCCAAATTGGCCGTAGTGTATGTGTGTGAATGCAGGTGTGTATGGATGTTTCCCAGTGTTGGGTTGTGGCTGGAAGGGCATCCGCTGCGTAAAACATATGCTGGATAAGTTGTCGGTTCAATCCACTGTGGCGACCCTTGATTAATTAAGGGACTAAGCAGAAAAAAATGAATGAATGAATAAATAATTGGGGTGTACAAATTTCTGCATCATAATCTAAAATTGTTGCGTTAAATTAGTTACAGATTTAGTTTTGGTACTGACTAAAGTAATGTATACGCAAACATATTATTGTAAAACATCCCATAAAACGTTTCAGTTTAAAATAAAGATCTGTACGGGGTATAATCATTTATGCTGAGCACTGAATATATAATAATCATTATTAAGAGCATTTTCTGCAGAAAAGCTCAGTCTTCTGTTAAAGTATTAATGTGTTCACCTAACAATAATTAAAATGAACGAACGAACAAACAAACTTCAAATCATGTTGATCATAATATTTAATAAATTTCCATTGTATAAGAACTTGAATATTAATGATAATAATAATACATTTCTAATTACTCAGTGTAGTGTTGGGTGTTGAATTTAAAAGAATGCAGTCGTTTAAGTCCACACAAATAGAGTCATGACATGTACTCATTTATGCTGAGCACTGTACATATACATATCATTATTATTATTAAGAGCATTTCCTGCAGAAAAGAGCAGTCTTTTGTAGAAGTATTATTGTGTTCACTAAACACAATAGTGCCGCCTCACAGCAAGAAGGTTGCTGGTTTGAGCCTCGGCTGGGTCAATTGGCATTTCTGTGTGGAGTTTGCATGTTCTCCCTGTGTTTGTGTGGGTTTCCATCAGGTGTTCAGGTTTTCCCCACAGTCCAAAGACATGTGCTATAGGGGAATTGGGTAAGCTAAATTGTTCGTAGTGTATGCGTGTGTGCGTGAATGTGTGTGTGGATGTTTCCCAAAGATGGGTTGTGGCTGGAAGGGCATCCGCTGCGTAAAAACTTGCTGGATAAGTTGGCGGTTCATTCCGCTGTGGCGACCCCGGATTAATAAAGGGACTAAGCCGACTAGAAAATGAATGAATGTATGTGTGTGAATGAGGGTGTATGGATGTTCCCCAGTACTGGGCTGCAGCTGGAAGGGAAACCACTGCGTAAAACATATGCTGGATAAGTTGGCGGTTCATTCCGCTGTGGCGACCCCAGAATAATAAAAGGACTAAGCCGAAAAGAAAATTAACGTATGAACAATGGATAATGATATAATAACTAGAATATCAATGATGATAATAACAATAATAATACATGTCTAATAATTACTCCGTGTAGTGTTAAATGAATGCAGTTGTTCAAGTCTGCACAAACAGAGTCATTAACATCATAAAGTCTAATGACATTGATATCAGTGAATTGTTTTCTTGATTTGCTCATTCAGATTTGGTTGTCAGATGGCCACACTGTACATCCACATCTAACCTGTGACACTAGAAATAAACCTTCGATGGCATTTATTATCATCATAAACAAATGATTTGACTTTACTCGTTCAGCTTAGTTTATTGAACCATCAACAAATGAAGAAAAATGTTTACAAAATTAGCATATATTACATAATCACACATTTTGTTGTACTGTTCATGTTTAATAGAGTAAACAGAGCCTACATAACATGAAAATGTGATCAGAGTTTAAGAAATATATATATTATATATATATATATATATTACATTTTAAAAGACAACAAGAAAGGGGCGACACGGTGGCTCAGTGGTTAGCACCGTTTCCTCACAGCAAGATTGTCACTGGTTCAAGTTCCAGCTGGGTCAGTAAGAAATTCTGTGTGGAGTTTGCATGTTCTCCCTGTGTTGGTGTGAGTTTTCCTCCGGGTGCCACGGTTTCCCAGACAGTCCAAATACATGCACTATAGGTTAATTGGGTAAGCTAAGAATGTGTGTGCATGAGATTGTATGGATTGTTCCCAGAACTGGGTTGCAGCTGAAAGGGCATCCGCTGTGTAAAACATATGCTGGATAAGTTGGCGGTTTATTCTGCTGTGGTGAATAAAGGGACTATGCCGAAGGAAAATTAAAGAATGAAAGATAAGAATACAAATTTACAGGCTATAAATTAAAATGTAGAAGGAGGACCTTCAGGATGAAGCTGTCTTTGATATTGTCTGATTTTTTAAACATTTTACAAACATGGCAGTGAAACAAACAGCTAATAACACAGCTCTCTTCTGTTAATCTAAGTCTATTTCCATTTGTATATGTTCATAATTTCAAAAGCACACAATGCCTGCAGCTATAATGTGATGTTGATAATAGAAGGAATCATACTAAGTCTATATTTTGAAATCAACGCTTGGCATTTGTGTCTCCACAACACATTGTGTTAATAATCATCATGTTAGCGATGAAAAATCAAGAACTGTAGAAGATCTGTCCTACTGGACGACTAACCAGCTTAAACTGTCTGGCCCCTACTGGAGTAACATTATCCTGTAATCTACAGCAGGATTAAGACGACCTCAGACAAAACACACAATCTTAACGTTCAAGACAGCTGATAAACGATCACACACTCAGAAACACACTACTCCAACGGCAGATCCGTGTCAACAGCTAAATGAACACCTCCATTAGCCTTTAGCCAGCAGACTACTGCTAACATCAGACTCCAATCGTTTCCTGTTTGTAAACTGTCACACTTCGAGTATCTACTGCTGTTTGTCTTCAAACGTGGACGGTGTTTCATCTATTTAAAGAGGTTAGCATGCAGCTGAACGGTGTTTTCATTTACGGCGTGTGAGAGAAGGTTGTTTTTTTACCTGTTGTTCCTTGGGCTCCTCTGCTTTCCTTTTCCTGCTAACTGTTTTTCTCGCCATAGCCCGACACGCACAGGTCCCTCACCCACATGGAGGGTAGTAGCGACTCTGGAAAGTGGATCATATAATGGCGATGGGTTTATTTCGGCGGCCTCCGGGCTGGTGAAGCGGCGCGGCTAATCGAATCCAACCGAGTCGAGTCGGACGAGGCTGAATTGAATAACCGTCCGCTCCTGTGTCAGTCGCGGATTCCCCCTCCTCCGATCCGTTTGATTTCGGGACAGGCTTGTTTGCTTTCCGTCAGTGTGGAGGAGCGACAAGGGTACGTCTGCCCCTCCCCTGCGCCGAGCTCACTTTTCACCTCTCTTCTTTCTCTCCGGCCGTCGCTCTCCTGACAAAAAGCGTCATCTCACAACGTCCTGCCACCGCGCGCAGCCGCACTCCAGTCAAACATCAACAAAAACAAGGTCAAGCGTACGCGTGCGCGATGGCTGCGTGTGAGTGCACGCGACCGACCTGACGTTATACGGGTAGTGTAGAAAAGATACAGCTTTGGATACTCACGTCAATGTAGCATCATATTTATGACACTGTAAATATTTTACGTTACTGTGAAGGGTGGGCTAGACTTTAATAAAATATAGTTAATGGTTAATTTAATAAATAATCCTCCTTATAATTACGGTTTTACATTTCTGTGAGGGGTAGGTTAAGGTTTTTGGTTGGACGTTAATAAAATTCAATTAATTAATAATTTAATAAATAATTCTCGTCACAATTACTGTTTTTACATATTACTGTGATGGGTAGGGTTGGGTAGTGATTTAATAATATGAATAATTCTCGTTAACTTCCGGCCGCAGATGTATCCCTTCTAGCAACAACCCGTTCAACGGCTCTGAAATGTTGACAAAATCAAAACAAGTTCTAAAATGTGGCATATTTTAAACTGAAATCTTGTCAATTTCTGCAAATAAATGCTTAAAATTATGAGATTAAACATTTAAGGACACAACATATCATTTAATAATAAATTCTAGAATGGGATAATTTGCCCAAAAATGAAACTTGCCATCATTTACTCACGCTTAACTTGTTCAAAACCTACCGAGTTTCCTAATTTGTTCAAAAGAAGACATTTTGAAGAATGCAGGTTGATGTTACCCATTCACTTCCATTCTCATTTTTTTCTCCTATGGAAGTCAATGGGTGCCAGCATTTTTCTAAACATATTATTTTGTGTTCAAGTCAAAGATGTAAAACAATATGAGGAAGAGTGAATGATGATGTAATAATAATTGGATGAACTATCCCTTTAATAATTTGAAATAATTAAAGTCCAAATGTGTTTCCTATGTTTATCTGTTTCTCACGAACGCCATCTGCTGATGTACAAAGGTTACATTTTGTATGACAATAAGCTGTTCAGCAAGTGCGTGCGGTGTGAATTTCCTTTCAACCCATGCTCTCTTTATTGCTGCTGAGCTGGAAGTTTCTCCATAGTGGCTATACAAGCAAGAGTGCCAACTGCTCCTGGACACAATCTCAGCATTATAAACCAGTGACAGCCACACTTAAAGACAAAAAGGACATTAAGTTTAATCATACAGCAGTCTGTAATAACTTTAAATAAGTCTAAACATTAGAAATCACATTTAGGATTAACAGATGCCTGTATCAAGACAAAAGCTCCCGGATCTGTTCTACCTGTCCATCAGGTTCTCTGGCTCTACATCAGGACGTTTCCCCATTTACAATCAGAACAATAGATCTGCATTTGGGTGCTGACTCATTATGCTCCAGAATGATCTGTCAGTGTGTTCGCTGTACTTTATTCAGCCTTTTCTAGTCGGACATGTTTACTTCTTTCTTGTGAAGTATTTTTCTTGTAACGAAACCAGTGAGCTACTTGAAATGTCACAAACACACATGGGTTATATTTCACCTCAAAATAAACTGAAAAATATCTGATTTTGCCAGTTTACTTTCTAATCCTTAATCCAAAAACGTATTTAATACATATTAAAATTAGCTATTGCAAATCAAAACATATGCAGGTCTCTTTTTCACCACAAAACCAAGAGATAAATAAGAATTTTATTGACAATCTCTCCCTATGTGTGTATATGCTCACACCAATACTAATGAAAAAAAAAAAAAACATTTACAGTGCATAAGACTTTATTTTATTTAGACAGAACAGACAGTTTAATATCTTAGTATTTTGGGGTGGAATATAACCCAGATATTTGTTTTCCTTGACATTCAAGAGGTCAAAAAATGTCAGCATCACAAGCAAAAGGTTAGACAGTGGACCTGCCTTTGATCCCAAAGGTTCTTCTGGAGTCTGATAGGTTAATCAGTAAGGATATCCTCAGTTTCCTGCATTCATCAGGGGAGGAATCGTGTATCTTTTGTCTGAGCAAACAGACTAATCCAATATGAGGTAAAATGGAGGCACACAGGATTCCTGCAGTGAGCAAAAATCAAAAGGCCTTTTAAAAAAATCCAAAAGCTCAAAAATGTGTCAATCATTCACAGTCCCACCTCCTTTATTGCACAACTATCAGGTACACGGTTTATCCATTTGGAGTCAGTGTGATTTAACACTTTACTACCTGACAAAAGTCTTGTCGCTTATCCAAGTTTTAAGAACAGCAATTAATAACTTGTCTTCTAGTTGATCACTTGGTATCAGAAGTGGCTTAGGCAGAGTCCATTACTTTGATGCTTATTTTACTAAAATAAAATATGATCCTGCCTTGACTTTTAATTATTTGATAAAGACAGTAAGGTCTGACTTTGTTTAGACAAAAGTCTTGTCACTTAACAGAAATAATGTACAGTGTAGAATATAAAGTCATGGTGCAGTGGAAAAAGATTTAATATTGTGTATGGCTCCCATAAGCTTGGAGGACTGCATCCATAAAGCCATCGGCAATGGCAAAGAAATAGTTCTTGCAGGGCACTCAGAGTTCATCAAGATTCTTTGGATTCATCTTCAATGCCTCCTCCATCTTACCCCAGACATGCTGAATAATGTTTATGCCTGGTGACTGGGCTGGCCAATACTGGAGCACCATGCCCTTCTTTGCTTTCTGGAACTTTGAAGTGGAGGCTGAAGTATGAGAAGGAGCGCTATCCTGCTGAAGAAATTGCCCTCTCCTGTGGTTTGTAATGTAATGGACAACACAAGTGTCTTGATACCTCAGGCTGTTGATGTTGCAACCCATTCTGCAGATCTCTCACGCCCCCCCCCCCCCCCCCCCCCCCCCAATACTGAACGACAAACCATGACTTTTACTTCACCAAACTTGAATGATTTCTTAGAGAATCTAGGGTCCATACAGACTCCAATAGGTTTTCTGCAGTATTTGTTATGATAGGAAGGAGTTCGACAGAAGATTCATCAGAAAAATCGACCTTCTGCCACTTTTCAGTGATCAACTAGAAGTCAAGTTATTATTTGTTGCTCTTACAACTGGGATCGACAACTAGACTTTTGTCAGGTAGTGTAGATCTTTATGAAAGAAGTTAGGCTCATCGAAGCTGTATTAATTTGATAAAAAAATGTAATCAAATGTTATTAAAATTGACAATAACCTTTGTATTTTTATATATTTGAAACTTTCAGCAGTTTGTAGTCACACAGTCCTTTAGAAATCATTCTGATATGCTAATTTGATGCCAAATTTTTTTTCCAATATTGATGAATATACAAAACATTAAAAAGATCTTAAAAAGTATTTAACAAACTTATTGAATAAAACGATTTATTTAAATAAAATAAAATAAAAATCAAGCTGACTCCAAAATTTGGAGTGGTAGTGTACCTCCACATATCTACACCTTAGTATTTTTCAATAAATTACAGAACTCATATCAACGCGTTAGCCTCATTACCGTGTGTTAATTTCCTCAATTTCTTTATTTCAGATGAAAACAGTGTATCTTTACAGATCTTTAAATATGCTTATATTAACATCTGTGATTCAGTGTGCCTGTGCAGTATTCGCATGTCAATTGTTTGAAAATGTGGCGGCTCCATTCACCCTTGCCAATTTCACTTGCCAAATGCGTTCATTTCAGTGCGAAAGCCAACTGGGGGAAAAAGTTAACTGTATTTTTGTTCTTACATAATGGTGATTAGTTCTGTTAAAGCAGTTCCTATTTGTAGGGTAAAGAAACACAATGCCAAAAAAGAACGAATGAAGAAACGAAAAGTGTTTCCGCCTGTCAAACATAAACAACGTGTGAACAAACGAACAGCAGAGACAGAATTAAAAGAGAGAGAGAGAGGGCACTTCTGTGGGGTCTCTGCTCTGCCATGGGTTGTGTTTACGAAGGTTCAGGTTTCAGTTTGGAAAGCCTGCGTCCAGCAGCGGGAGATGGCAGCGTTATAGCTTCGAGTGTCGCAAAAACAGCGGCTCTACTCAGTTTTGTTTTCTCCAGCTCCACCCACTCTATCGTGTCACCATGGCAACAGAGAGCCAATATCGATTCTCGGAGGAGGGGTTGGCTCCTCCCACTCGTTACCATTCTAAGATCACTTAATAGACATACAGCTGAGGAGGGATGGATGCACCGCCAGGTGGTGCGGTCAATCCCTGCCCCAAGAGGTATATCTTTTTTAGGGTACAAAATCAGCTGTCCTGTCAAAGAGAAGAGAAATCACCCCCATCCACAGCCAGGACCCCCTCCCCCCCATCTGAGGGGCGGCTCCAGATGGGGAGACTCTCGTTGGCTCAGCTCGCAGTCGCTCGGGTCATCAGATCCTCCAGCGCTTTGTCCTGGTCATTATTGTGCACAAGCAGTACCTCTTTAATAGTGTCCCTCTCAAAGCCCATTTCCCCAAACCGGGACATCAGCTGCAGAAACTCCAGAGCCTGTAGGAAGACAATGTTAAAGATATATAAGCATAAAAATGGAGGTGGAGCCCCAGAGCCACTCCGACACATTACAAAATTGCCACTGACTTTTATCAAAGACTATAGTATACACAAGACGTATCACTTATTTAGTTATGAACGGGAAAAGGTGTAAGGGCCAATATGGCGAATGAAGCCCCGCCTACTACTTCAGGAGCCAATCATCGATCGATATAGGCTGACGTTTTTCCGGGGGAAAAGCTCAGACCAAACATGTGCTTGTACGACAGTTTAGTGGTCAACAAATGGAAGAAATCTTAGCAATACTTGATTCACAGATATAGGAAATATTATTTTGTATCAAAAGAACGCAAGGTAGTCTTTCCTGTCAAACGCA